AGTGCCTTATCATAATCATTTAGTCAGTCAGCTGAACATTGGTCAGAGAAAGCAACTTCTTAATAATTACTACAGCACTTCAGGTACCCAACAATGCAAGTATTAGCAAAAATAATAAACAATAATACACATACCACTAAAAAAATAAAATTAGAATTTGTTTTAAATTTTTTTCCTTTTCTTTTGTGGTGATGCTATCTCCATAAGGGTTGAATAAAGATCTGGCAGGTTATTAAACAGACAATAGTGTCATTAAAACATTTTTCTTCAAAAAAGATAGGCACTCAAAGCACACAAATATTCCATTAAATTTAGAAAGTGATTTGCATAAATAAAAGACACTTCAGAGAGCTGGTAAAAACCAGTAGGAATATTCTGTGATTTAATTTTACCTGCCTGTTCCAGAACTGTACCAGTTCTGAAGAACTGCTCTGAGATGCTGCAGTAGGACTTCCAGCACTCAGCATCAGGCCAGAACAGAAACCACTGAGATCATATTTACATATTTATCAGTACTCACTGGGAATGTTCAAAGTGTACCACAGAGAAAAAAAAATAAAAAAATAAAAATTCAAAAACATCAGTCAAATAATTATATGGACAGCTGCCATGTAACATTCATACTTGAAGTTCCAAATGCTTTGTAATATGTTTTCATCAAAGGATGCTAATAGTTGCAAAAGTAAGATTCTCCCTGCTTCATAAACACTAGCCAATATTAATATAAAATCTATTGGAAAACATTTATTTGCTAGTAAGTATGTGTATGTGTAAGTATGCATGGAAAGTAACGTAAGTAGGGTAGGATCAAATAAAAATAATTTTATTGCAAATTTCAAGCAAAGAGACAAAAGCTAAACAGCACATATTATGGATCTGGATCAATCCTCAATTAAATTGGCAGATATAGTTATATAATTGTAAATATAACTATTGTTTTCCTTCCTTGCTAACCCTGGTTTGCCATTTGACTTGATGGTGACCTTCTGTTGAGAAATAATCTTAAAAATATCTCACAGGGCATGAAACGTTAACTTGAGAGACAACAGCTTTGTTCTGCAGTCAGGTGCATCTTACTGGGTCATCTCATAGAAGTCTTGTTGCTTGTCTGTGCCCCAGTTTCTTCACTGAACAAATATATATGCCTCTATAAACAGGCTGCTGTTTTTTTTTTATTTTTTATTTCTACATCTGAACTGTTCTGCATATGTTCAAGTTATATCAAAATAAAAAAAATAAAGGGAAGGAGAAATGTATTTACTACAGGTACAAGAATTTACTATGCTTGGCAGAAGGAGAATTTTCTTTATATTAATCTTAGTATATATTAGTATTATAGAGTCATACAAGGCACTGAAACTAATGATGTCACAGTACTTTGATGAAATAGAGAAAGTAATAAAAGTAATTTCACACAGACAACTAAAATGTCCTACTAAATTTTTAGTAGTGATTAATTAATCTAGGATGTAGGAAAGAGATGCAAAATAAATATTTTTCCCCTTTTGTTCTGCTAGTACTGATTTCTTGGAAATTTCATGTATAAATTTAATTTTTCTGTGTGTTTCTGCTAACATGGCCACAAAATCAAAATAAAACTTGACGAAAAAAGCTATACCTTCAGCTAAAGCAAGTCCATAACCTTTCAATGATTTTCAGCCATGGTGCAATCTTCAGGAATATTCACACACACCATGCTCTATTATTTCTTCTATGCGAATCAAAATTCTCTCATATAAGGTATCATGGTGGGCCTCAGGAAAGTTCAGTTTCCTGGCTGAAAACAACATTAAGTTATTTGGAAGAATCCATTCTCCCAAAGCAAAACTACAGATTATGAAAATGCTTCCTCATCCTAACATCTCAGGATTGCTATTAAAAATTGCAAGATGCTGAGTTGTTAAGGTCAGTTAGGCCATACAAATACTTAGGAAAAATATCATTCAGAAGTTTACAAATAAGTGTACATTTCTTCTATACAGAAAAAAAAAAAACCAAACAAAAATCTAATACTTGATCATGGGGAGCAGAAAATATAAAAATGTCAGTTTTACTAGGATATATATATCTGTGTGGTTTATACACATGCTGTGTTTGAAAAGCATGCATAAAATCATATGTTACAAGTAATGCGATTATTTTCTTCTACAAAGAACTTCTCTTACGTGAACTTCTCTTAAGTTATAAGGCATTTTGATGTAACAAACTCCTGTCATATCTATATAATGCCACCAGGGGAAATATAACATTTCCAGATTCTTCTCTTGTAGAAAGAGGGGAAGGTAGGCAGTGTTGGTCATTTTGGTAGGTCTGCAGTCCATGCTAAGTAAGAATAAATATGGCAAATGAGACATTAAATACAAGTGAAAGCAAATTTTGTCAAAGAAGGAATTGTATGTTCTTGCTGTGCACAATTTTCCTCATCCATAAATGAAGCATGATCACCATTAATCCAGTGCTCATTGCTTATCCAATTAAAAAAAATGTACATCAGAATCTGCTTACTGCAGCTGTAAATGTCTCCATTTCACTGTTCTGATTTACTCCACTACAAGTCTGTTTTTGTTCTCTACATGATTACTTGTTACTCTCCTAGGTTATGCTGGGAGAGACCATTCAGGTCAAGGACTGAATGCAAAAGTCCTGTGGAATATATTGTGGAGAAACAGCAAAAATTCCAAGGTTGCAACCATGGTACTCTGTCTGTGTGTGTGGAACAGCATTGTGTTAGACTTTTCACCCCTTCCCTTTGTTTCTGTCAAATATGATGTGAGTACATTCTTTCAGAAAGCTAAAAAACTGTAATAATTTCTTACTTTTTAATTATTGTTTGGTGACAGATATAGGATGAGGGAAGGAGGCAGCCATCATTTGGGGATAAAACACTAAGAGGTTTTTGTCTATCAGCAGCTGCGCATGAGCCATTAGCAGCTGTGCACACACTCTTCACTGTTTTAGAATAAAATCCTACAGAAATGTACTGCTCCAGATGGGGAAGGTTTATGTGTGTCAGTCCTCAACCAATCACTCTAGGAGCATATTCCTTCCTATGCTGGTCACTGCCCAGCCTTCAGCAATCCATCCTGGTGCATTTGTACTTGCCATCTTCTTCCACACTGGCACAATGGTAACATCTTCCACACTACAGACATTGACATCAACAGAACCTGGTGTGTGGAGTGCACTAGGCATAAGCATTCTGTTAGCACTGCAATTGCTGAGGATAGCCCTCAAATCCCACTTTGAAATACAGCCCCCAATGCACCAGACTCACACTATAAAAATGGTGGTGTGCAGATTTGCACATCTGTTTCTCTCCCAGATTTAAGCATCTATTGTGTAAAGGACAAAACATGTTAAAATTAAGCAAAAAATGCCATGGAAGTGCCATGAAAAATACCAGAGCCAAGCTTGTGAGTCTTTACTAATTCTTTCCTACTCTACTTTTAATGTGCAAAATGAAAATTGTGTCAAGAATGAGAGAAAAACAAACCTATGTCAAACCTATTCTAAATGGCAGGCCAGGACCCACATGTACATGCTGTAATACATGTTTTTGCAGGCAGACATAATGCTAGAGCTCCTGTAATAATATCTGCAGATACTGATTCCCCATCATTCTGTAACCCAAAAAACCTCACAGCTTTTGGGGCAAGTATCAGCATCTTTCCTTTTTCAGAGCAGGGACCAAGGCCCTCCTCCTTGCTCAAGCTGGTTTGTAAACAGCTTCTTATCGTTTGCTCTTTCATCTCCCACCTCACCCCACAGCTTCCCAATTACAACCTGCAATCACTCGGACAATGTGCGTAGAGATACTGAAGGCAATATATACCCTATTTCCTTTGACTTCTTGGAGTACCAGGAGCTAGAAATGCTCAGTCTCCTTCCTGTCCGACAGCTTTTTCGACGTTTTAGAAGCTTCTAAATTATAATTTATGTACTTAAATGTCAAGTGGAGCAAACTTAATGTGGACTCGAGTTTCCTACTGACATGCAAACAAAGGCCAAATCACCTCCTGGCATACGTGAAAAGGTTGTCTACGCACTCGGGAGCACCTGCCATTTTACCCCTTTCAGGGAGAAAAGGCAGGTGCCCGCGGCAGCACCGCCCTCCCGATGGGGACGGCATCCCTGGGTGGTCCAGCCGCGCTCGCAGCATCTCTCATGTTCCGTGCCCTGCGCTGATGGACTCGGCCCCGTGTTCGGTCCGCTCCAGGCTAAGGGACAAGGAAGAGCCGCCTGTCAGGAGTGTCTAACCGGGCTGATGTGTTTCGTCTGTGAAAATAAATGCCACTCAACAGCCGGCCTTCCCCGCTCACTCACACTCCGCCGATGTCCCCGTGCCGGACACACACTGCACTCTGAGCAGGACAAACCCAAAACGCCTCCGCGACTTCCAGTGCCGCCCCTCGACCCCTTGGCCAGACAGATCCCCGCTTCTTGCTCTCTCCCAGTCTGCCTGCTCCACAAGGAGCAACAGAGGCTTTCCAGGGGACCGGCGAGCCCGTGGAAACGCCCCACTGCATCACTCCCAGACACTGTTTCTCGCTCGGGCTGTACAGGCACGCTACCACCCCACGCCTTGCCCCTTGCTTTGCCCAGGGTGAAACATCCACCCACGTGCGTTCCTGTGCTCCTGTGGAGGCGCGGGCCCGGCGCTCGGGGCCCCTGTCCGTCCCTCCGGCTGCCCGCCCGGGCCCGGGCCCCTCAAGGACTCGCCGCTCAATGTCAGGGCGGCGGGCCGGCCGGCAGGGGGCGGGCGAGGGGCGGCGGAGCCCGCCCTGCGCGGAGCGCGCTCCGAGCCGGCGGCGCTGGTGATGCCGGGCGGCGCGGCGGCGCGGAGCTCAGCTCAGCCCAGCCCAGCCCAGCCCTGCCCAGCCCAGCCCAGCCTTGCCCATCCCAGCCCAGGGCGGCACAGCCGAGCCGCGCCGCTGAAGGGCACCGGCGGCGGCGAGGCTTCCCCGCGCTCTCCCGCGGCTGGGGTGCGCCCGCCCCGCAGCATGGAGGCTGGGAAGCGCAGCTCCTCCGCCGGCAGCCGGGACGATGGCAGCGCTAACTCCTTCCCAGCCAAGCCGGCGGCCTCGGCGGAGAAAGCCCAGAGCAGCCCAGGCAGCGGCGGCGTAAAGGAGCATGGCAACTCCGTGTGCTTCAAAGTGGACGGCGGCGGGGCCGAGGAGCCCGTGGTGGGCTTCGAGGATGCCGAGGGACCCCGGCGGCAGTACGGCTTCATGCAGCGGCAGTTCACCTCCATGCTGCAGCCGGGGGTCAACAAATTCTCCCTCCGCATGTTCGGCAGCCAGAAGGCGGTGGAGAAGGAGCAGGAAAGGGTTAAAACTGCGGGGTTCTGGATCATCCACCCCTACAGCGACTTCAGGTTAGCGCGGGGCTCACGGCGGGCGGGAGAGGGGTGGTCCCGGCGCCTCGCACCTCGCCCGGCGCAAACTTCGGCGGGCGCCGGAGCGGGCGGCGGGGCCGGGGCCGGCGCTGCCGGGGCTCGGCCCGGCGCTCTCCAGCGTGCTGCACCCGGGACGGCCCCGCAGGCCCCGCGCCGGCCGGGGCGCCGCCCGCAGCCCCCGGGGCAGGATGCTGAGCTCTGTGCCTCTCCATCCCGCCGTCCCGGTCTGTGTGGCCGCGGGGCCGTCGGGCACGGCTCTGACCCGGGGGGGGATGAGAGCTCTCCAGGGGGGTTACACAGCTGCATCAGCATCAGTAAAATCCCGGTGTCTGCACACGCCTGCCTTTCCCCGAGCACCCGGTGTAAACACTTGTTTCAGGCGCTGCGAGAAGGAAGTGCGTCTCTGTCAGAGTTACAGTAAAATAAGTTTATCCAGGTGATGTGTGGAAAACTGTGTTTTCATAGGGAGACAGGTAAATGTAATGCCAAATCAGCACTGCTTTCACAGTAAGCTGCATGGATGCAGGATTGGAATATTCACACAGAAAGCAAGTAAGTGCGCAAGAAGTTACAGCTCCCTTTAAAATTACATTTAAAGTGTAAGATTATTTCATTCCATACTCTGTGCCAGCTGGCTGTATGCCTTTACAAATGTAACACTCTCGATGATATTTTCTGAGGAACTATCAATGTCGTTAAGCATATTTAATCAACAGCTTGAATTGAACAAACTGCATCTATATGATAAGTGAATTATTGGCATAATATCATCCGGTGCACGGAGACTGTGTTTAAAAAAAAGAAAATCCAGGATGTTCAATAGTTACATGGATCTTCTAAGAAAAAACTGGGTTAAACAGAACATTCTTTCAGTGACAACAGGAGGAAATACTTTGAAAGTCCAAGTTTCTGCGGGACTGCTTGGAGTGAGGTGTTTCACAAAGAGCCGTGATAACAGCTTGCAGCTGAGCCTGAGAGCAGTACAGCTACAGGAGTGGAGGAGCACGGCAGCACTCAGTTAGAAATCGTGCTTCAAGTCCCTGCCTGTTTTCCTGGTTTCCTGAACTCAATAAACTGCACTCGTTCTTTTCCTAGAGTATCTTTTCAACCCTTGCATGTCAGCTCAGCTGCATTAGCAGGTGCATTAAAGGGAGAGAGCGAACCAAGCACCTACACACTCCCTTTCTACCAGCAAGAGGGGGACGTAGCAGGTCACATCTAGTGCTGTAGTAACATGCATAGGGAATTGGGGGCTTTGATATCCTCTTCCTTGTGTGTGTGTGCATGAGTAACTTAATTCATTTAAGGATTCTGTTGAAATGAATGAGGTTATTCTTGGGAATAATTTTCCTTGTTCTGTTGTAAGCTTGGTTTCTGAGGTGTACACCCAAACATTGTTTTGGGCAGTAGGAACTTACTTGTTATATTTGTATGTAACTTTCATGGCATGTAACTTTTTAAGCTGTTCTGTGAAATAGGTGATAAACATGTTCATTTTGTTTCATTACAGAAATATCTTCTAATTCTGTCCTGATTCTTTGAGTGGGAAGGTTTAGAGATTGTAGAATGTTTCCCTTTTTTTTTTCAATAGGAGTAAACAACATTGCAGTTTTTCCAGGTCTGTTTGCATATTCTTAAATTAACTGGTATTTCTGGTGCTTTTTAAAGTTTAGTATTTAATTTTTAAATAAATTTCTTAGTCTTTCATTAGTATTGGGATGGTGTGGCCAGCTCCAGACCCAATATTTTAGCCAGTAGGTCTCTTTCAGAGAGAAATAGAAGATGTGCGTGTTGTTTTTCCCAAAACAATTGCATCTGTCTAGTGCTACAACTCTTTCTGGGTGGCAGTGCAAAATGTGTGAAGAAGTTGAACTATACAGTATATTCACCTTATTTTAATTTTAATGGGAATTACAGCAGCACTTTCAAGGGCCATCAAACAGTGTCTCTATACCAGAATGAATTCATTTGTGAGGATGGATTTGCCTGGATTTTTTTTTTTTTATGTTATTTGTAGCAATGCTTGTGTGTAGACAAGCCTTAAAGCATTCAAAGAGACACAGGTATTCCCATGCCGCTGTGTCAGTGTTGATACCATCAGGGGAAAGAACTAAATTTTCTACCAAAATAAGAAGAAAAAGGTTTAAAGCTGAGTATTTTATGGTATCCTAATGAGAAGATATATAATGCATTTGTAAATGCAGCTCTTATTAAGGTATTTGTGGCATATATGAAAACAGACATGTCAGTAAACTTTAAATGTAGACACACTTAGGAAAATACTGGGTTAACCATGTAAAACGTGGGAAAATTCTGGTATAGGCTTCTCTGGACTCTTTTATTTTTTTCCTAGTTCTGCATGCTTGTATGCGTTTCCTGGGATAGTTTGACATACTTGGTTTTATCTCTGGATTTCATTCTCATGGTTTTTTGTGAAACAGTATACTCATCTACACCAAACGGTGTTTTGTTGTGACGTTTGGAGGAGTGGGCAGCATCCTGCTGCCCTCCTGCCCCTTGTTTTGGTGTGAACAGAGCATGGAAGCTGTGTCTCTGAACTCGGTGCTATGTAAATTGGTTACTTGCAGCCTTGTGGGGCTTGTCTTTCATTTTTATGGCTCTCCATTCTGCATGTGTTTCAGGGAAGGGTTGTCTCTTTGTCAGGCAGATACACCCTTGGAGGATTAAATTCAATAAGTATTACATAATTTTTCCACAAGGGGACCATTTTGATCCTGGTTGTCTTTTCCCAGTCTTCTGAGGTTAATGTGTAATTTGGAAGCTGTTACATAAACTGAGCACCTAATGTACATCAAACCCAGCACAAGGCTTCTCTATCACTTTGCAGCTAGGATTACTGTATCTCTAAAGCTGGACAACAATTCTGTGTAATTGCATGAGTCACAAAAGTGAATTTATCAGTCAGAGTTTGCTGGAGTCCTGTGTGTATTCTGTGAGATACTGAGTGCCTCCAGCTGTCCATTCTCATATGTGGAAGAATGAGCCTTCTGGAGAGCATCACTGGTCCAGCCCTGTGGTCTTGCAGCCCCTGGATAAGAGCAGGAGAAAGCTGACAGGAGATGGGAGCAACTGCATATGGTTCTGGTGCTGCCACACACATTTCATTTATTTAATAGGAGATTCATGGTGGACATGGGCCTTTGGATGACTTTATATGTTATGGCCTTGTGTTTTTGATGGAAATGCATGTGACTGATTTTTAGATGATTAATTGCTCTGTGTCCTTTGGCATGTCAGGAGTTTCTTTAATGTTCAGAGGGCTGGCTTGCATGTGCCTGGGCTGCTCATCCAACCCTGTAGCATCTCCCTCCCTCCCTCCCTCCCCCCCTCCTTCCCTCCCCACAAAGAAACTCACGCTGTCAAGGAAATCTTGGGTTTAGTACTACATTGGCTAGGGCATCTGTAGTCAGCAATCTATAAAGAAAACAGAATTTCTACCAGAGTGGCATCTTTTGACCAGAAATAGCAATGTATGAGACAGACTGAGTGGAAATAATACATGTATGTGTAAATGTAGCCTTCACACTCTGATGGTTACAGTCAGCTTGATGTTTGGGAACAGCCTTTGTCTGAAAGTGGGGACAAAAATTTTGACTGACTTCAAGATGAAGTAAGACTGTGATGTGGCATTGTCGGAGTAGCAGGTAAAGAGGTGCAGTGCAGACAGAGTTGAGGGTGTTTTTCCCTGTGTAAATAATACAAAGTAGAAACTAATAGGAAACACTAGGGAAAAACAAAAATTTGACATTTTATCTCTCTGGGTAACTTCTCATTTATCCAAGAAACTCAAGGCCTTATTTTAATGATAACAGTAAAGTAAAAGCAGAATAATTTCTAAAACTTGAACAGAAAATTTTAGAATGTAGTGAATAGTAAATGTTTGCCAGATTTTATTTTAGCTTGTGTGCTGCTCCAGTTTCAAAACCTTTTTGTATGCACATTTAAGGCATCATGTGAATGTTTGAAGTTTATGATAAAAATCTCTGTAAACCATTGAAGGTCTTGTTGCTAATACCTTGTAAGTAATTTCATGCCAGGTTTCAGCGGGTTTTAATCAAGGTGAAAGACACAATATTTGCATGTGTCTGTCTGGGTAGTTATAGAAGAATTTGCTTCTGTTGCTGTTAAAAAACATTCTGTTATATTATGCAGTTTTATGCAACTCATCCATGTTGTCATACACATGTACAGCTTCAATTTTCACGTGTGTGCCAAACTGTAAGTCACAATTGCCATGGTTTAGTGTGCCTCATGTTTTTTTTTAATTATACTTTTTTTTTTTTTAAGATTTGAACTTACATTTTCATTATGAATCGATATTCTTTTTAATTTTCATCTATCTTTTGGACCTGTCTTTGACCACCAGCAGTTGCCTTAACATCATAGACTGTGCATGTTATATGTGCAGCTCACAATCAACTTTCCAAAATTCATGTATGCTTTGGTTTAAAACTTGCTTTTTGGGACCAGTCTTAAGAGTCCATGTTATACCTATCTTAAGTTGTGTCTTAAGAAGCTTAGGGTAAGCATCTTGTGCTTCTCTTTTGTCACATGTTTTTAATGTCTCTCTTGACACTAATGAGATTTATGTTTTTGTGAGCTGTTACATACTTAGGTTTATATAGAGCAGTAGAGTTGGAAGGTGATGCTATATGCAGTGAAGACAAAATATATTGTACTAGACTTAAATGTAATTGATAGAGGTATATGTATTCAAAATTATATACATATTATTTAATACATAATGTATTAAATACATTAAATAAATCATGTCTATATTGGTCTGTATTAAATAGTTCAGATATAAATTTGCATGGGTTTTAATGGATACATTATGTCACTGGTAGTGTAGGAATATGAAATGGCCAAGTTTTGTATTCTCAAGGTAGTAATTTCTTGTTGCTCTGGATTTGTCATGAGATTCTATTGCAGAATTGACATTTCTGAATTCACTAAAA